GCGGCCACGGACAAAACCGGTTTTGTTACGTAAATCTGGTGCGTTCTTATTCTGAAAAGAGTATATATGATAAATATGGCTAGGTGACCTTAAATTATTTCGTGATAAATCCTTTGCCGCTATCTAGTGATTAGAAATGGAAGTAGAACATACAAACGGCAATGTAAACGGTGGGCGCCTAGAAAATACCGTAATGCAACCGAGCATACAAGTTTTCTTATCACTAGCCGCCCGAAAAATTAGTTCACCTAGCTTTCACCCAACTTCACACTCGTCGTAGAAATTAGATTCAGGTTTATTTGGAACAGATAAAAGAGCTTGTTTTATTTTAAAATTATTGCGTTTTACGTTATCGATATGAATAGATGTAAAAGTATGTTGTATTTGAGTTTTTTTTTTTACATTGGATTTGTTTGGTACAAACCTGACAAAATATATATGGATCCATCTGTAGTAAACAAATTTGTATCTTTATTAAAAGGTTCGATCTATTGCTTCAATAACGATTTGAAGGTAGAGGTGATTTTTGTCATTTTATTTTTTAATAAATATAGATGTTTTAGTAGCTGTACACCTAACAATAATTAAATTGATTTAAATGATAAATGAATTTGTTACAGATTTTTCGATATCTGTATTTACTATTGACAATTGACTGAACTCTGTGATATCACACTATCACAGATAGTCGATAGAGAAGTTAGCGTGGTCTATGCACATGCGAAGAAATGTGCGAAACAAGATCAGTGATACCCTCGTTGATAACAGCTATACCATACTGGGGGCCAATTCTTGAAATCGTGATAAATTTTGTCGCACGAAAATAAATATTTGGTATTCTTGAATTGTGATATGACTTTAGTCGAACGAAAGCTATTGTAATGGGATTACGTAATTATAACCATTTCACGTAAACGCTCATAATAACCCGCTCTCTGCAATCTGTACCTATATATATCCTCTGTATATAATTAATCTTATTGTTGTATAAATAATTAAATAGTAGAAGTAAATAAAATATAAATACTGATGGTACTGCTAGTAATAATTTTTATTTTAAAAATAATAAGATGAAAATAATTTTATATTATTATGTGTAAAGTGTAATCATAGAGTAATAATTATTAAAATATATTATTTCAATTACTTTATGAGTGTAATACGCGTCTGAGGACGTCTTGTAGTACCTACTAGAGCTACTTTAGTTGTCAGAGGGGCTCATATGAACACGAAAATTTGGAAATCCTGAATGATACATTAATACGCAAGATTGGTGGCTAGCCAGGAACATAGCTAAACAGGAAGGCTCTGTAGCCAAGTCTATAAAAGCTACTATAGTAGATAACCATAGTAAATTTGCTTTATTCAAGCCTTGTGTACAGGTAAGATTTGATCTTTTAATTTAAAAAATATCTGTCATGAACCACATTATTCTTTCTGATGTATTAAAATCATTTTTAATGTCCATATACTTAATTTATTTATAACTTATTTTTTTAATCTCCACCAACACCATTGTGGCAGACTATGCTGATGACAAACTTATCATATCTATAAATGAAAACCCTATTGTAGCATCGCTTAATCTACAAAATCATCTTTCCCTTATGGAAACCTGGCATAAAAATTGGAGGATTAAGGTAAATCAAACCAAATGTAATCACACAACTTTTACCCTTAAGCTAGGACACTGTCCACCAGTCACTCTCTATAGCACTCAAATTCCGTCTACTCCAACAGTAGTATAAACTATAATATGACCATGTAACCATTTTTTTAATAAAGCACTTTTTCGATTTTTTTTATATAAATGGAGACTTTACTTTTGGGACAAGCCTCGTATTTGGTGTAAAACAATTTTTCATAAGACTCAATAACCTTATTTTTTGGTACATAAGCTAAGCTTGGTAATTTACGAACCTGTAGCGCAAAAGTTACGTCATCTATATATTTTTTTTTGGAGTCCTGCAGCTTGAATTTGTCGCCAAATACGTTGTGACATATGAAAGAAACAACCTTTTAGTTTTGCTTCAGGAAATTCAGAAGTTATTGCATTTATTGCACCTTTTTTTAAAGTCGACCATAATTGTCTTAGGACATAGATCAGGCACAATTGTTTTTAGTGCTTGAAACATACGTTTATAGGTGTTTACTTTTAATAAGATGTAAACATACTGAACAGCGTGAATTGTATAAAATTGATAAAATAATGATGGCGTACTAGAAAATGTGCCATCACAAAACCAATTGTCGCATTGTGTCATGATATACAATTTTTACCCGAATGTCTGATGAACTATGGTCAGCGTTCTTCAATACTTTCCCGTCGCTTTCCCCTCCAACATTTCATTAATAGCAAGTTAACTCCTGAAGAATTAATTTGATCATTCAATAAGGCCCTTGTCAACCATGCTCAGATGACCTTCCTTAAAAACATTTTCTATTTGATAAAACTTCCAGACATGGCCATTTTAATGAACAGTGGTACTCTCGGTTACTTCCTGATGGTTCTAGAGTTATTAGGGATTGGCAGTGTCGGCCTGGCCAGGGCCGCGGGGCCGCGAACGCGGCCGAGGCCCTGAGCTTTTTTTTTTTTAGTTTATAATTAGTGGCCAGGACCACCACCCCAACGTAGAGTAGTCAACAAAGCGTCAAATATACGGTACAATTAAATGTACGACGATGAACGAGGGAGTGTCGATCACTAGGGCCCACAGGCTGCAGGGGCCCCAGCCGAAGTCTTAACTAAAAATATTGTTTTTCTATATTAGATTTGGATAACAATTTTTACAATCAATATGACCACCATAATTTTTATTCACAAAAATAATCGTAAAAAACTTTAATAGAGCCCTTCATTGAAAGTGACAATTGGCCTAGTTGCGCTACTGACGAAGTGTATAAACGGGGCCGGTTTAGAGAGAGCCCACGGGGCCCGGGGCCCCACAAGATTCAATTAATAAGAGGCCCCCACGAGATAATTACCTTTCAGCTTATGCAGTAAGTTATATGTCAACCTTATATGGCCAGATGATGGGCCCTAGGGCCCCCACCATCCTAAATCCGGCCCTGTGTATAAGTTATAGAATTTGAGTGTAGTGTACAATCACTACAAACACGTATCTACTATCTAGTACGATATAATAGAATCTATATTTTGTCATGGTGCATACGTGTGTGGTGTGCTGTCTACTCGTATAAGGTGTAGTACAAATGTAATGATAAACGAGATGATTTGAACGCATATAAGATTTTTTGTACAACAAAATTGTCGGGAAAATCGTAACGAATACAAATACAATAAGTCAATAACGTCTATGTGTGGGGCCCCTGTATGGCCGTACAATAGGTTTGATAAATTGTCTAATCAATTATTATCATTAGCGCTATATCGAAATAAAGAAGTAAGAACAATTAAGTTAAGTAATTAAAGAACTTTCATTTCATTCAAACTCATTTCATAATTTATTTACAGTTTATAAATATGTATTTATTTTACCCTCTACTCAAGTGACTTGTGAAAGGGTGTTTTCTAAACTGAAACTTGTGAAGTCTAAAATCAGATCAACAATAAGTCAACAACATTTAATGCTTATTGCAATTGAAAAAGATATCAAGATTCAGAAAACTCAAATTATTGATACTAACCTTACTACCTAAGTCATCTAAAATGTTACATGAATTGCTCATTTAGTATTTAAGTTTTTTATATTTAGCTATTACTTTCTTTAAAAATAATGTTGTGTCAACTTTTGTTCATTGTTCGTCTTCTTTATTATATTTTGGATGATATCTTTTTCGTAATTTGAATTACATTTTGTTTAGTAACTTATTAAAATCATGTGTATCATTAAGCACGTCAGAAGTTAATACTTGGTTTTAGACTTTAGTAGAGAATTGTAAAAGTGGAAAAATTTTAATCGAGCGACTATTTGGTGAGTGGGGGGAGGGAGGTAAAAGTCAGCGTTAATAATTGGCGTTTAACGGTCAGCATCAAACGGTGCTGTTCAATATACAGGTTTCACTTTAATCACACAACTATAGTCATTTTTTATTTTTATTCATAAGAAAAAAACTGAATTCTGACATAATATATCATAAGTTAGTTTACAAAAAATAATTCATTTACACATTGGCTGATTGAGCGGGGGGGGGATATACAATAACTCTAGGAACGAAATTGTTCATATATAGTAAATGAAGAAAAAAATCGAGGCCCCAGAGAAAAATTGCGGCCGAGGCCTTTTATACGCCAGGCCGACACTGGGGATTGGTTATCATACTCACCTATACTCTGTCCAGCGAGAGAACGCGCCGGTTGTGCGCATCATGACAAATTATACAGGTATGTCAGCAATATTACGGATTTAGAAACAAATCGCGCACCCACCCTCCGCCCAGCCCTTTTCTGTGACGTAAGCATTTTTCCGGTTCTCATTGGTCCACCGCCGTCACTACCGCAATAGCCGCCGCCGCCGAAGACTCCACCACCACTCCACCGCTCAACCTGTTGGAGAAATGCTTACGTCACAGACATGCGTATCACGAGTTGCTGACATACCTATTTATTTTGTCATGGTGCGCATGTAGACCGACGACCGAGCGAGCGCTGAGGCCCCATTTCCCCCTCTCTCGGCCTGCCGAAGACGGCCAACGCCCGGTCGGCGCCCGTCGTCGGTCGGTGGGCCGTCCTGGTGGCGGCACACGCCACACCGGGCTGAGTACGCGCGGGAAATCTCAAATCGGCAACAGCAACTTGCGTGTTGACTATTGCCGCCCGTGTAATACATGTTAAACGAATCATAATATTTCTTCAATATTTATTTTTTTTTTTATATGGTAACACTAATTTTTTTCTACCTTTTTCATAAAATAAACGTCAAATATTAATTAGAGTTAAATATTTTTTAATAGTTAATTTTTTTTTGTTAACAAATTTAACGGTTCATAAAAAAAATACAAAATACATACAATATAAAACATAATACAAAATATATATTTTATTCTAAGGATTCACATCCTAAGTCGTCTGAATCCGATGTGTCACCGGTGATTGTCATTACATGGAGATTGTCATTATCCATCACATCATCGGTAGTTAAGTCGACTTTCCAGAACCTGTCTTCTACTTTAATGACGTGTTGTACAAAGTTCTTCCACATTTCGGGTGTGCAGGAATTGACACCTTCGGTTAATAGTTGTCTTACGTCCGGAAGTTTAAATGTGGTATTGTTTGACTTCACGTACCTTTTTACGGACGACCACGCTAGTTCGATGGGGTTGACTTCGCAATGATACGGTGGCGTCCTTAATACCGTCATATTGTTCTTCTTCACGTATTCGTCAACAACGTATGTATTGTACCGCGGTTTAATGCGTTTCACGATGTCCATGAGCCGTACCTTGTTAATCGGCCTTTCGAATTGTTCACCTTTTTCTTCCAGCCAATTTTCAATTTCATTTTTTCTCCATCCTAATGTTGGGCATTTTTCAGTTTTTACTGAGTGATAAGGCGCATTGTCCATTACTATGACAGAATTGTCTTTTAGTAATGGAATGACGCCTTTCAACCAGTCGAAAAAAACATCGCCGTTCATTTCTTCATGATAATCTGCCGAGCCTTTTTTGGATTCAAATACCAATAAGCCGCCGTCGACAAAACCCTCCTCTGACCCAATATGCACAACAATCAGACGTTTCCCTTTGGCAGTTGGATTTGGTGCGCCAATTGATAGACCGGACACGTAGGCGTCTCTGCGGGACGCAACAGTTCTGTCCTGCCATATTCTGTCGTTGCAGTCACCTGCGTTGACCCAGGTCTCGTCCAGGTAATAGATCGTTCTTCCCTGTGATCGGTATTTGCGTATATCTTCGATATATTTTGTACGCCACAACACAATGTCTTCTCTTTCTATGAGAGCGCTGTTCCTACCGCGTTTGACGAAGACAAAATTTAAGTCACGTATGATCAAGTGTAGAGTGGACCTTTTGTTCAAGTCTGGGTCCTCGTTAACTGCTATTAAAATCTTGTTCAATGTTGGTAACTGTTTTCGAAACCAAAACTCGTGCACCTTCCTACGTATGGCGTCCCGTTCAAAATCGTCAACTTTTTCTTTAAATGTTGCTCGAATTTTAGTTTTGCTCGGTGAACTTACAGTTTTTTTTTTCTTATACTCAGCAATCGTTGACTGAGCAGTCCTTTGCCCAATACCCAATTCTTTGGAAATAATCCTCACCGCTTCTTTTATTTTTAACGTTGGTTGTTGTAACATTTTTGTTTTATATAAATTGATGATCATCAATTTTTGACGACTGCCAACTAACTGAAAAATGAGGACAAAAAATATATTACAAAAAATACTCATTATAAAAATTATAAAATATAATACATTAAAAAAAAACAATTACAATTTATCAACACTTACTTTTCCTCTAGGGTTCGTCTTCAATGGTGTAATAGCAACTTCCCTTTCACTCATTTTTATATTAATAATATATAATATCGTATATAAAAAATTATAACTGTGGTTTGCACTGAGGTTACAGAAAACACTAAACAGTTAATTATAATTATACAGTACCCAACACACTTCGCAGTTCGCGCGTGATAGACGACACTACGAAACTCGAAAGTACGATATCGTTAAAAATGTTGCCACCACAGCGGCACAGCGTCGTCGTCGGTCACGTGGACACGTACAGCCGATCGTCACGTGGCCGGAGGCGGCCGTCGGTCGGTGGGGGCACACAAGGCTGGGTACGCGCGGGGATGCGCGAAAACGAACCAATTTTGGTCGGCCCGGGGCGCGTTCTCTCGCTGGACAGAGTATACACTAGACACAGTTTTTTGTTTGCCGTGTATGCTCTTTACTGGCCACAATAAGCATAAAGCTGTTACAACATGGACAAAAGTTGGATATTCTACATAGCAAAATGGTCGTTAAAATATTATGCTACATGAAATAAGTAATATACATGTCAATGCTTCAATAACACTAAAAACAAAGAAAAATTCTAAATAAATAATATTTTATATTTATAATTTGGAAATATTGTAAGATTATCTGTATAGTGTAATATAAATTATAATGCAACGTCAGATACAGCGGTCCTCGACGACGGGCAATCAATCGGCCGTTGCTTAATCGCAGTAAAACGTAAAACCGTACCGTACCTATGTAACGTACGCGTCGTATAAAATATAAATTGCACATTATTTTGAGTGACTTTTATTTCATTTGTGTGTTGTACAAAATTATATGAAATTTTTGTTCAAGTATGTATTTATTTTAATTGTTTCATTAATTTATAAAATGAGTAATAAATATAAAAGTTGGGTGTGGCTGTTCGCTAAATATCAAGGCTATAAAGTGGCTTACACACTAGGCGATTAATCGCGCGCGTACTGAGCTTCAAAAACGCGGCGATTAATCGCGCAAAATAAAATGCGTGTATTTATATCAGTACATTCACACGCTCGCGACTAAACGCGACCGATCGCGTTGGCTTAATTTTGAGCGATTTGTCGCGACTGATTTCTAAAATTAACTTACGAGATAACCATGTTATTATACATACACAGCGCTCGGCCAGCGATTAATCGCTGCGATTTCCTGCATTTGTCCAGTATTCGCTTTCGATTCGTGTTGTGTATGTGCAGTGAGTTGAGCACAAAATTTATGAATCATGGATACAGAACAATTAATAAATAGTATTTATGAAGAACAGTCAATTTGGAACAACGGTAAGTAAAATTTGTTAAACAGGTAGCTAAAGCAGTGGCGTATTTACGTGGGAGGGTGATTCTATTAGGGATCGGTCAGTCCACATTTTAAGATTTCTGATTTATATTCCGAATAAATCCAGAATAATCAACGTTTGAAATGTCAAAATATTCAAGATAAATTTCTAGTAGTTTGGGGGGGGGGGGGTGAAATTAGGAAAAGTGTACCGACCAATCTCAAGTAGACATAATAACGAATTCAAATCTGTTTTAAAAAGTATTATCGCATTACTAGATCGATCAGTATGTTTTGGCTAAAATAATGGTTTAATATAAAATAGTATTTCATCAGGAACGTTTTTTTTTCCGACTAGGTACCCCCTCTCGTAACATAAAAAACTTGGTTTCAAAAATTGTTTTTGTATCATAATCACCATGGCTAGTCTATAGTTAATTGATAATTAACTAATGATAATACAAATATTAAAAAGGTAATAATATATTATTATATTTTTCATTGAAGAAAACAGTTTTTATTCATTTTTACTTGGGGTGCTAACTAGCTAACTGCTTGATACAACATCTAGCGAAACCACAGCCGCCTACTGTGAGTTTCGCGACCGTGGACGCACGGTATAGATCGCGTCCTCAGGTTGCGGATAGAGGGAAGCCCGGTTCCCTCGGTAGCTTCCGAGTCGGGTAGCCGGCGAATAACTCTAATACCCGGCCGCGGACAGCTTCGATTAAATGACCCGTAGTTCCGGACAGTATGTCCTCTGGGCCGGTTCACGGTCGCCGGCTGGGCCACCGACCCAGCCGGTGGTGCTCTTAATACGAGTTGAGAGCACGGGCGCCGGAGTTCGCTCCGTCCAGCAGCCGGGCGTCTCAGCGTAAGCCGGGTTCGGGCATGTCTCCGGGACACTGCGGTGAGTGTTACGGGCTCGCGGCTGATGGCTCGTCTGCTTAGAGTCCCTAATTCGGTAGGCGAGGGTGGTCGTCGCAAATAGTCCCACCTTTGACCGAAAGGTAGGGCTGTAGTCAGCTTGGGCAGGGCGCCTCGGCTCGGCAGGCATCCGGGTCGGGACGTTCGGCCAGACTGACCCAAAGAACGGGTCCTAGCTGATGATGGTTCGAAAGGGTGGTGGCCGAGATTAAATTCGCACCTCGCGGACGCTCGTCCGCGGTTAAGGCAGACCAATGCCCGTCTTGCCGGACTGGAACTGGTAGCTCTCGAGGGGGCGAAAGTCTGACTGAAGACGCTTCAGTACCACGGGAGTGAGTGGGGCCCCGTCGGCAACGACGCCGCTCACCGCGGGCGTCCAGTGATGGTTCACGCCCCTGGACGTCCGTTGCCGGTAGGAATCGTGGTGGCGGTTTTCTTACGAATACTTTGTGGTTATGTCAATAGATACTTATTCTAAGTTCTCGCTGACAGGCGAAAACCTCTGATGAACGGCCGCCGTGACCCGGGGGCGCGAGTCACCGGTTCGTTGTCGGTTCCTCTCGGGCGTCTAGCCGCTATACCGGTGTAGTATCATCGGAGGTTGAGTGTAACCAGAAACACTCGGTGTGGGGATAGCACACAGCCAGACCAGGCGAATTCAGGCGGCACTTGGCCTGTCTTCTTGGTACGGGACCTCGGTTCCGGTGCTCGTGGTCCGTAGACGACGCGCGGTCGGCGGACTGGGCCACCGTACGTCGACCGTGAACCTCCGCGGCTCTCGACTAGCGCACAGCGCTAATATGAGGTCCGCGGTTGTAGCCGCAAGGCGTCAAAACCGGGAGTCTTCGTGCTTGATACAACATTATATGTGGGGCTATACCCCCAAGTTTGAACTATGGTGGTAGGGGAAACAGAGTCTTCTACTGAACATTTTCAAGAAAATTATCTAGACTCTTTACATGCAAAATGTCTAAATACGCCACTGAGCTAAAATGCATTATTCCAAAAAAATACCGAACAAGTAAGAACATAATATTGTTGTTACATTTCATTATTTCAATGATCTTGTAAATTTTATTATATTTTTATAACACATACTACATAGGTAGAATACATTAAATAGGTGAGGTACACTGTGAATAACTTAACATTTAAAATATCCACAAATTAAAATATGACATCACCTACCTATTTAATATTCAAAACAAGTTAAATATTAAAATTGTCTGACAACTATTCTTTTTAAAGAGTTAAAGGATTATCATAAGTCCGATGTAAAACATGTTGGTTGGTGCAAAGTGGCGAAGTCATGCATCCCAAATTTTGAAGATTTGGATGAAAAAATCAAAAAAGACAAAAGTAAGAATTTATTGTAGATAATTATAATATATCTTATTAAACCAATATTCCAATTAATAACACAAAAAAAAATCATACTTCTACATCCAATCACCCAATTACTTTATTTTGCCAGCTTAAAATATTTCCAGGTGAGTTTATATAATTGACAAAATATTCTCTCACTTCTTTGGCTTCTGACGAGGCATTTCCGACACCTTTTTTGATACTGTAGTCTTCCAGTTTGCAGTTAAATGTATCTTCTGCACTGAAACTATCTCTGCGGCGTACAAAGTTATTTAGAACACAAGTGGCTTTTATAATTTTGACAGCAAAATCGGGAGATGCTAAAATAGGCGTATGAAATATTCTCCATTTGTTGCTTAGAATACCAAAAGTATATTCAATGTTTTGCCGAGCTCTTGATAAACGATAGTTAAAGACTCTTCTTTGGTCATTTAAAGATTTTCCTGGGAAGGGCCTTAATAAATGTTTATTTAATGCAAATGACTCATCACCAACAATCACATATGGTTGAGGTATACCTTCTTCATCTCCAGGTAAGACGTTGTCTGGTGGAAAATTAACTTTATCAGCATAAAGATTTTTCCCAAAAACTGATTTTTTAAATACATTGCAATCGCTCTCTTTACCATATGAGCCAACATCAATAATCCGAAAACAATAATCAGCATCACATATAGCGAGAAGGATAAGGGAATAAAAGTGTTTATAGTTAAAGTACTGTGATCCACTATTTTTTGGACATTCCAACCGTACATGCTTTCCGTCGACTGCACCAACACAATTTGGGAATTGAGTTTTTTCATAAAAACTTTTAGAAATTTGCAGCCAGTCTTCTGTGGTTGGTACAGACATTTCTCTAGGTTGCAAAATTTTCCATAAGATATCACACGTTTCATTTATAATATTAGAAATTCTTGAAACACCCATTAAAAAATCAAAATGCAGTGCTGAAAAGTTGGTTCCAGTTGCCAAATATCTAAAAACAAATAAATGTTCTTATAAAATAAAAAATAACCATATTTGTATTTGATTGTATATATAACACAGTATATAAACATTTTTTAAATGTATAAACAAGTTCTTTATTTTATTAGGCTTGGTTAAAATCCCGGTTAAAATGATATAATTTGAAATAAAATATCACCTTACTGTAAAGCACTATAAATTATAATTAGTAACTTTGATAGGTACTAATATATCACAAACAAATAAATACCAATTCGAGTTATTTTTTTTCAAAATATTGTTAAATTGTTATGAATAAAGTTATGTTCAGATGTATACTGTTTTATTTTTGCAGTTGCTCTCCTACAAAAAAAATTGAAATCACTAAGAGATAGCTACCGCAGAAAATGTGTGACTAGATCCGGACAGGCCAGAACAAATGAAAAGCAATATGCCTATAGTAAAATTTTAGAATTTTTGCGTCCAACTATGACAAATCGAGAGTAAGTTCATTCATATACTAAAATTTCAATGTGCCATAATATTAATTACCCTCCTAGTGGAACAAGCAGAATCTTCAATAATTGAATTGATGGGAAAATGAGTAGTTATTTTTGTAACTATACATAAGTGCTAGTGGAGTTAGTTTTGAAAAGTGTACATACTGAGAATCATATACCTACATTGTCTTATTTATTTATTTATTTATTTATTTATTAAAAAAATGTAATATGTTTTTAATTTAGTATACTATCTATTGTTTATAGAACTGAAAGTAATGTTAAAGATATAAATGAAGACAGCACACAAACAGACAATGATGATGTAGATGATAAAAGTGTTGACAGTAATGAAGGGTATGGCATGGTAGTCGGGAAAGATATCTCTGTTGAAGATATTTTTGATAATTAAGAAAAAATTAAAGGGAGGCAAGATATCAAACGCCGCAAGAAAGAAAAACCCCAAGATCCGGAGCAACCATTTGAAACTAAGATCCTTTCAATTTTAAATAATCGAAAAAGTGAACCTGACGATGCTGATAAATCTTTTCTTTTATCCCTTTTACCAGAATTTAAAACAGTAGATCAAAACCACAAGTCACAGTTATATATTGATATACTAAACACAATACAAAATTTTAAAAGAACCCATTCTCAACAATTCTCAGCTTCTAACAATCCATATTATCATACCCCACAGATGATCAATAGTTACCACAAACATTTTCAAGCACCACCATCACATGGTCAGCCATATACAGGTCTTTCCTATTCCTACTCACAAAATTTAAACCCTAGTTCCATTATTGAGTACCCATCAGCAAGTAATTCTGTTTCTACTTCACCACCAGTTTATAATGTAACTCACTTTAGTTCCATTCCAACACCTCAACATGATACTAACTAATTTTTTTAAATAGGATGTTAAAAGTATTAATATTGATATTTTACAATTTAAAGTAATAATAAATATTACATTTTTAAATTAATTATGTTTATTGTTTTTTTTTTTTTTTTTTACCTTAATGTAACTGTCAGCCTCTCTTCAGGTGATATAGGAACACGTAAACAAGTGAGTTGCTTAGTCAGATCTTTTTGAACCAAAGAAAACTAAAAAATATAATTATATTTTTAATTAATTTATCACATATAAGTCTAGGGCTAAGAAGTTGTTAAATTTGCATGTTGCTTTTGGCTATTACAATTGTGTTATTGCCAAGTAAGCTATAAATTAATTTTATGGCTCTACAAAAAAAAATTTTAAAGTTTTTAGTGCATTTTTTTGCATATTTAGATATTTTTTAGTTTTAAACAAGCCTGGGCATAAACGAGTTTAAAAGTTAAACTAATTAAAGTAAGTTAACTTCTTAAAATTTAATTTTTATTAGCTTAATTTAACTTAACTGATTTTTATTGATATAAACTTAATAGGTACTAAAATGAAAAGACGTATATGTGCGTCCATAGCACCACAGAGTTGCCTACGTTGGACGCATATATGCGTCCATAGCAGTGAAAGAGTTGTTAATGAGTTACTTTTAATCAATTACAAGTTACATTAATTTATAAATAATTGAATAATAAAACCATTAAGATTACTGGCAACCAATATATATGTATATATATAAAGAAATAAATACATAAATAACTCAACTTAAGTTAATAAGTTAATTTCAAGTTTCCATATAACTTTTTACTTTACTGAGTTAAAAAAAAAAATACCTATATATTAACTTTAAACTTTTTAAAATGTTTACTATTAACATAACTTAACTCAATTAACAATTATCATTAAATTTCCCATTCATGGTTTTAAGAGCATATTTATTAATTTTACAATTTTTTAGATTATGTTTGATGATAACTGTATAATAATAATGAATATTAATATACATATATGACTGTAATATAATTTGAAAGTTAATAAAAAAACTATTGTGTAAGTAAGTATATTTAATTGTGTTTTTCAAATCCCTAGTTGCATAAGAGCATGCATATTTAGTACTTATTAAGTAGATACATTTAAGTTCTGAGCCCTATGATATAATTATATAAATAAATAAAAATGTATTAAATATTTAAGTGTAGGTACATAAGTCATAAATTAAAAACGGTTGTTTAAAAAAATGTATTTAAAAAAAATAAAAGTTTAAATATAAAACACTCTACCTACCCATTATTGGCTGCATTCATAAAATATTTCAAATTATTAAAACATATTAATTTACTTACTAGTACATCAAATGATGTTATGGTCATTCTGTAGTATTTATAAAATTCTTCTGGATAACTTCTCCGAGCCATAAAGTTCACCTGAAATTGTCCTTCACGTGGCCTTTTTAAGTTCAATGGATGAAACCAGCGGCGCAATTGAATTGGCTCCCCAATACAGGCAGTCAATATTTTAAACTTAATAAGTACCTTTGAATTAGCTCCCGAGAATTTACTATTGAATTGGCTCCCTACTGTTTTTTTTTCAAAAATATATTGGTTACAAAAATGTTGTTTATATTTTAAAGTTAGACGTTATTTCCTAGAGTAGTTGACGTCAATTCTTAATTTACCTAGAACAGATAATACAGATAATACAGATAAAGTATTCAATAAAATTAATATACAGCTGTTTGAATAATAATTAAATGTATATTATATAAATACAAAATTGAATAATAATTGGAAAAAAAAAATAATATTCAATTATTATGCATACAATTATTAATTACATACTCATTGCTTGTATCATGCTTTCTAAGCGCGTCATTATAAAATTGGTGTTATACTTTTATTTAAAAATTAAGAACAGATAATATTATACACAATCAAATAAAAAATATGTCTGACTATTTTTTGTGGTCTACAATTATTTATCGTCATTATAAACTTTATGTTATATACTTATATATTTATTTAAAAATTAAGAACAGATAATATTATACACAATCAAATAAAAAAATATGAACAGAACAGATAAATTATTGCTTTCTAAGCGCGTCATTATAAAATTTATGTTATATACATTTAATTAAAAATTAAAAACAGACAATATTATACAAAATAAAATAAAAAAAATATGTTAGACTATTTTTCGTGGTCTATACTTATTCGCTAATATTTTTATGTATTGAAACCTTGTATGTACACCAGTATCATATTTTTGAATTTCATCTTCTAAAAATTGTATTTTATCTCTGATTTCTTTCCGGTGTGGTTTTGTTATATTGGAACTTCTTATAATAATTTTTGTATCAGATTGAATACTATATAGGTAATACATTTAGAAAGTTGAATATATTTGGATGTGGAGAATAAAATTGCGAATTGAATTTGGAATGAAACGATTCGCACGAGTTAGTTGTACGATAAATACTATTGCTTTTTTCTGCCCAAATTTCTGGTGGAAATGTTGAATCATTGTCAATATAATTTTCTACTAAATAATCATTAAATTTTGTAAGTTTTTGATTCATAGGCTGTATTTCAGCTAATTCGTCGGAAAAACAATCCCCGACTGATTGTGGATCTAGGAATGGCAATCCAAATATATACTTTAAATATTGACCTATTTCTGTATTTTGTACGTACTCCGATGAAAGTCCAAACTTTTTTATTGTCCTATACCAAGATTGTCCAAGGTGAAAACGACAACCACGAACTTTAGTCAATGGCCAAACATCATTTATTGCATTATGTATTGCTATTTCAAAGTCAACATAAATACTTTCTAAATTAAACTCATTATTATAAGTTAAACAATAGTTATCAATAATTCGAAAAATATCTTCATAAGATTCTTGTTTTTTGTCTTTGAGTAAAGTGAAAACTAAAGGTACATAATGATTGTTTTTTATTACATGAATTGTGAAAAATTGGTAAAAAAACTGTGTACAGTACGAAAATGTTCCATCAACGTAAAATGTAGTTGATTTACTTAAAAATTCTAAATTGTCTTCCGTGCTAAATAATAAAATCCCCTTTTCTGCATTATTAACTTGCAAAAATTTATTACCTTCATATGTTTTTACGTCCATATCTTTCAAAATATCATGCACCTCTTGTCTACTACGAGGCAAATTTGGTCGTAAAGATGCTCGAGCTTGAAATATATTGTGTTTTATATATGTTACATCTTTGGTTGTAATTGCATTTGTATTATTCTCCCGTAAATATGAATGTAATAACTTGGAAGGGCGTTCACAAAAATTTTCAGTGGCCTTACGTTTCAAATTATTGCTTATTATTTGACGTTCAATTTTATGTTCTTCGTCCGCCTCATGTTTATGTTCTAGATTGGATGATGTCCACACGATATCTTCATTTTCCAATACTTTTAAATTGACAGTGCATTCTCTTTTAGTACATTTATACCGATGTTGGCCATTTTGGAGGAGTTTATGAAAACTAAACTTGAATTTATCAACTATAAAAATTAATTTTCCTTTTTCACTTAGCATTTTCTGAACAGAATTCATTTTTACGCACTCGCGTTAACACAGCGTAGCTACTAATAAAGTATAATACCAACATTACTGTCGTGGTGATCAACAAAATAAAAGTAGTGTATTGTAGGAGTCAATGATAATCGATTATTGTAGTAGATTACGACGATTAAGAAGATAAGACTAAATCCAATAATATATATAATAGTATAGGGATATCCAGCGATATACTATATTTGAGTTCAAACTGCCAACTACTGTCAGGTTGACTTCGTAAAAAGAAAACTTGTATAATGTGAGAACCCCTGGTTAAATAATAATATTTTACAGTTTAGGGAGCCAATTTAAATATACATTTTTCAAGAGCCAATTCAAGGGTCAAATTCATATTTACCCAAAATTGGGAGCCAATTCAATGGTAGCCGAACCCAGTACCTGCGTGGTTGTACAGTTTTCTTTTTGGTTTTTCTTTGGCGTCTCTTGTATAATATATACAATAAGCTCGCAGCTTCTATGTCGTCTATTTGATTCATATTTGTTACAACAAGATAATTATTGTATAATAAGGACCTACTAATACAGGAATACTGTATCGGATATGCACTTGGGCCATGAATTGTTGTGTTAGAAATTTGAATAAATTTTTGATAATGTAATATAAAACAATGGATTTGGCGCGTAATACAGGTGATAATAAAAATAAGATAATAAAAACGCGCCAAATGTGAAAACAGTGTGCGTACGCGTACGCGTTTCGGAAACGCGTATGCGCGCGATTAATCGCCTAGTGTGTAAGCCACTTAAAGCTTATTGTGATTTGTGTCCGGAAATTGAAAATAATGAATTTTGTTGTATTGATGGAACAACATAATCCTTGGGTAGACATTTGAAAACTATACATGGTATAATACCACTCACCACTGTAACACGAAGGTATGTACTATGTACTTAATAATTAATATACATATTAACATATTATAAACCACTTAAAGAATTTAAAATTGTATAGAGTTTTAATTAGAAAAAATCTCAATTTTTCGTGAAAATAACAGTGTCCGGTAAAATTAATGTTTAAACGCGTATAAAAATAAATCTGAAGAACGATTTTTGAAATTTTTTCAGAACTAATAGATTGATATTCTAATACTAATAGAAATTAGTGCAAATTATAATACAAATTTATTCATATGTGTAAGATTATATTAAATTTTTAAAAGTTTCTACTGAAAATTTAAAATTTATTTCGAAAATAACTTTGAGAAAACATGGAATTTCTAACATTTTGGAAGTTCTACTTTTAGCTTAAAAATAGTTAAATTTGTTTGAAACTTTCGTCAAGTCTGTACATTAGTACGGGTTAACGTTTTTTGAAAATGTCTTGTTCGTAATACTATTACTTTTGTATTTACGACTGATACTAAAAACGATTTGTACGAAAACTTCGTATCTAAAGCAGTAAAGCGAATTGGAAATCTAAAATCGTTAAAAAGTTAAATAAATCATTAAGTGTAGAATATTTAATTATAATCTTATATTCGTAATCAGGAAAAGGGCCTAGTTTATTTACTGGCCCGGTGGTCTTTAGCATAATATTTATTAAACAATTTCTATTATTTGAACTTTCTGCACCAATCCTAACTCGGTGTGGTCCTAATTAGTTTAAATAATCGAGGTTCTACTCTATTAATATTTCAAAACGTGCCGTATATATGGGTACACTTGTATTTTAATTACACGGGCTTTAACACCGATTTGTTAAAAACACGGGTATCCGTGTTTTTAAATACACGTGAAATAGATTTAATTTCAATAGATTCGACCTTTGATGCTGCTAGAAAAGAGCAGGTATCATTTATAATAAGATAATGCTAGTCATTCATCTGGGAACATTTTTGAACGTTTATTGGCTCTTAAAGAATCTCCTGTTACAATTGGAGAATCGTTGTTTGATCTTTTTGAATTAGTCATGGATCGTGAAGGCCTTGATTGGAAAAATCGAACTTGTTGGTCAGTCATACGACGGTGCTAGCAATATGAGTGGGGAATACAAGGGCCTACAAGCAAGAATTAATGCGAAAAATAATTCAGCTATCTTTGTGTGGTGTCATGCTCACCGATTAAATTTGGTAATGGCCAATGCAGTTTCATCTAGTTTAGATGCTGTTGATTTATTAGGAAATTTAGAATCCATTTACTCTTTTATTTGGTGTAGTAAGAAAAAAGCTGCTTTATTCAGAGAATTTCAAAGCAAACATTATCCTAATATGCAAAAGAAATCTATGAAACGTGTTGCAACAACAAGATGGGGATCACATGATGCAGCACTTGAAACTGTTTTACAAAAATTTGATGCAATATTAGAGACTCTGGAAGAAACAAGAAGAAATGAAGGATCTGGTGATGTAAAAGTGGATTCCACTATTTATGAAATACTTTTTATTATATCGATTTGTGTTAACCGCATATACTTTAAAAAAATATTTACTGTTTTAAGTCCATTGTCAAAGATTATGCAATCGGTAGATCACTAGTAACATAGTGATATTTGTTGATCTGTAATAGTTTCTAATCTGTCCTTAGGATAATTTTTTATAAATATATTGTATTTTAATTTTAGGTAAATACTTATATATCCAATCATATAAATAATATTGTACTTCAACGCGTTTTTGAAATTTGCGATTTGGGAGTTACATTTGACTCAACCTTTTCTTTCAATAAACATTATTTAAACATAACAAAAAAAATCATCTACTATATTAGGTTTCATTAATAGAACTTGTAAAGATTTTACAAATTCTGATGCCATAAAAATTCTGTATTTTTCTCCAGTGCGTTCTTCTCTGGAATACAACTCGGTTGTATGGTCACCCTCCAGTGTTGTTCATATACAGAGCTTAGAAGCTATTCAAAATCGTTTTCTTCGTTTTATCTCTTACAAATGCAATATACCACGTAAACCATACTCACAATATACACCGTTATTAAACCAATTAAATATGACCACTCTAGCTGTAAGGAGAAAAATCATCGATTTGAAATTTCTATATAAATTAGTAAATGGTTTTTTAAATTGTCCCGAATTACTCAGCTGCTAAAATTTTAATGTTCCGCATTGTCGAACTAGATCTGCAAATACTTTTTACATTCCATTTCAAAAAACTAATTACGCACTTTGTTCACCTATTAATAGATTAATGAAAATAACTAATGACGTCCAGATAGATCTATTTAGTTTTCCTTCTTTTGATTGTTTTTGTAACTATATTGCGTATCTTTAAATTATTTCTGCTACCTACATTATTATTGTCTATATTATATTTTTATATTGTTTTTATAGTTTTTAATATTATTATATAATATATATATATATACTATTACTGTATTTCTTTTTAATAGATTTAAGTCTACAAAATAGTTTTTAAATTATTAAAAATTGTAATTGGGTTCTACCCGTTTAAATTAATATTAAATAAATAAATAAATAAATAAATAAATAAATATAGTACTACAACAGAGAGGGAAAATTAAGTTTAAGTTGACCTTATTTTAACCAATAAAACTTCCATAGTATGTTTCTAAAATATAACTCCAAAACTATATATAACGCTGTAATAACCTAAATTGTTAATTACAGGATTCAAGTATTGATAATCAAGATGAAGTATGGAAAACAATTGCTGAATCATACAATCAACTTCAAACAAGTGGTAAAAAAAACTATTGAGGAACTGAAGAAGTGTAATAAGAGGTTACAGAAATCAGCAGGTCTGGATATAAATAAAGAAAAGGTATCTGTATAATGTATATACTAGTCACTTGTGGGATTTTTCTCCCATAAAAATCTAGTCAACTAATTGTTAAATTAATCATTACATTTTTCTAACTTTAGAGTCAGATCTACAAGACAGGAGGTGGAAAATCCGAGCATCAATCGTCTTCAATAAGTAGTAAGGTTATGGGTATGATGGGGAATCGATTAGAATCTTTGGAATGTCCCTATGATTGTGATGGAGATTTTCCAGGTATACTACAAACAAGTTATGAAGAATTACCTGGCATCGCCAAAAAGCAAAGATGTGGAAGTGGTAGTCCAATATGTAAGTTATTTTATTGCTTAAAAAAAAAAATTATCTAGTTTGTTTTAATTATTATTTTTCCTTTCTAGATTATACAGTGGGGCTTGATGAGATGGCTGATGCACAAGGCGTTTCTTCCTCAACACCATGTAGAAATGTACTTATGAAAGATAACATAGAATGGTTATTAAATAGCAATGACTCTTGTGCTAAAGAATCTGCAATGGACATAAGTATTCATGACAATACTGACCAGCCTAATAAAAAGAATGATTTTCAAACAAAAAATAAAAAAAAAACAACTACTGTGCCATCTAAATTGCATGAAATATTACCAAACAAAAAAGTTCCTGTAACACATATAACTGCAAATAAAGTAGATGAAAGCCTTGAAAATATATCTAACCAAAGACTGGGATTCAATACCACTAAAGAAAAATTCCATGAACATTACAAGGATTTGAAGATAAAAAAAGCCAAAATTGAATTAGAAATTGCCGAAATAGAAAAAGAAATGTTGATTGAAAAACTCAAGTCAGACAAAGAACATTATATTTCTCAATATAAGCAAGACAAACTAAAAGAACAAATATTAGAACATGAACTTAACCAATAAAAGCAGACACTGTAAATTGTTTTAAATTCTATAAAAATTTTTTCAAAACTTTATTAATGTTTTAATATGTATTATGTTCACTGTAAATTTAAACCTATTTTGTTATTATAAGTAATAAAGTTATATAATAATAGTAGTATTAATAAATAACAATTAAAATATTTTATTATACTGTTACACAAATATGGTTTATTTATTTATTTCAAATATTTCAAATTTTTTAATTGATGTTTGAAAATCTTAAATGTACTAGCCAAAATGTGTTTGTTTCGAACAACATTGCCAACTTGGTTTACTGGTGCAGCTGGTATTTCTTCCAAAAGATGGTTTTCATCTTGTTGATCATTTTGAGGCATTACATCATGTTGTTTAAGGAGGATATTATACAATACAGCTGTAGCGACAACAGTGGTTAATGCTGTTTTGGTTGAGTATATCAATGGACAAAACTGGAAATCGTCATTTTAAGACACCAAATACACGCTCAATAATATTTCTGGTTCCAATTTGGGATTTCTAAGAGTACATTTCAAATGATTGCTATTAAGTAATAGTTGATAACTAAATTAAATAAATACAAAAATAAAACTGTTAAATTAGTAATTCTCAATAAATACCTGATATTTTAATTCAGAATTTGTAGTAGGATTCAGTAATGGTATCATTAAATAATTCCTACATGGATAACCTCCATCACCGAGCAGAAAACAGCCTTCAAACTCATTATTTTCAAATTGGGCACGTACTAAACTATTGTCAAAAATTGTACTATCATGAACTGAACCCGGCCATCTAAATATACATTAAATTATTAGTTATTAAAATAACCAAAAACAAAATGGTTGTACATAAAAATCTGTTAATAATATTTCTGATTTAATTAATTTAATACCTTGCCACTCTATTTGTTATCTCCATTTTACTGTTACATACTGCTTGTACATTAAAAGAAAAATAACCTTTTCGGTTTCTAAATTGTTCTCCTATGTCGCTCTTTGGAGACTGTATCCTTATGTGTGTGCAATCGATTGCTCCAATTACCCTGGGAAAATTATACATTTCATAGAACCCTATTTGCACTTCTTGCTTTTCTATCTGATTTTCAGGCATTTTAATAAATATAGGACGAAGACTTGCTATACGTTTTGATACGCGTTTTATTATTCTAGATACTGTGGACTTGTGTACATTTATATGGTCACCTAGAACAAACTAAAACAAAAATTAAAAATTAAAAGAATTTTTTATCTATTTCCTTTGTAAATAATGTTAAAGAACAGCTTACTTGAAATGCTCCAGTTGCATAATATCGTAGAGCAATTAATAGTTATATTTCTGGGGTAATTGCAAAACTTCTATTGGTAGACCGTTTTAAATCATTGCCTATTGTATTAAGTAACATCATGTGTTTTTATTTAGCCTAAAAATGAAGTTTTCAATAAGAAATGTTAAATAATATTTATATAAAATTTATAAAATTTATTTATCATATTTATATAATATTAAATTCATAATTTTAACTTATTTATTATGTATAAAATATTTACAATTATAAAGTAAGTTAAAATTATGAACCACTTAAAAGAATCAAAAGTACCTACCTAAATCTGTTTTGGAAATCATATTCATCATATTCTTCGAGTGGATTGAAACGGTCCCGATATCTTCTTGGCCTCGGTAGATTTAAAACAACTTCCAAAACATATTCTTCATCAGAACTGTCAAAATTTGATGATGTCACATACACTGACATTTTTCTTAGTTATAATTGAATTTAATTTTATAAGATTGACGCGAATTCCGAGTTTTTAACCACGATTATAAAGAACAGGTTATGCATCGGTATAAGGTTTGTATGGCACAACCGCGGTCAGAAATTGTTACGGTGATATACTTCGGCTATTTACCACTAGGCAGGCGCTGCTAGTTAACCGGGCTCTAAACGAATTGTTCGTTGTCGTCATAAATATAAATCATCTATTGTGATTTGTGAAGACGAATCGTATAATATATTATTAATATTTAATATTCGTGTGTTTAATAATCGTGTGTTTAACAAATTTATCGAACCAAAATCGGGCCTATAACTTATCGAACCGATAACACAATATTTATTGGATTGATAAAACTTATAGATTCTTTGTGCAACCTGCCAAAATGTTATTGATTCGATAACCTAGTTAATGGTTCGATAAGTAGTTATTGGTCGTTTGTGCAACCGGACATTAGTAGTAGATATTTTTGCACAAAAAACTAGTGTATTGATTAAATCATTAATTTTATAAGATTTTAACTTTTAATTAAATAAAAGCTTGATTATCTATGTAGTATTTTGGTAATAATAATGTTATGTTATTTTGTATTATGAATATTTAAATGATAATAATAACTAATTGGTTCTCGATTTCATATGGTTTATCTAAAACGGGTTGGTCAAAGCTTAGTCGCTAGGTAATAGCTTACATATGTTTAAACGGATTAATTAAATATTTGTTCAGCTAATAAATGAAAAAAAATGGTTATACATTAAATATGTAGTTATGTGGGTAGTTTGTTTCGCATTCAATTGTTACATTGAAAAAAAAATTGGGGGCCCAAGCTCTAGGAGGGGCCCCTGGATTTATGTACTGCCTCTCTAAATTTGGTATTCTGTTTTCCAATTTCGTGCTCGATCATTTTTAATAACGAAAAAAAATGTGTTTTGGTCATTCGTGTAAAGTTTCCAAACAATTTTAAAATGTTAAAACACTAAAACGTCTTAACAATGATTTATTTATTTATATAAATTATATAATATTTTAAATTAAACTGGAAGTAGGTACTAGGTACAGACGTGTTATTAAGTTAACCTTAATAAACCAACTAAAATCCGCCCAACAGTGCTACACACTATAAGATTTGGTCGGTCGGTCGGGCGAACAGATGGTGTGGACACCTGACAAGACCCGACAGGATTAAAATCAGACGACACGTCTACACACGACCTGATGTAACGTCTGATCTGACCAAATTATCCTGTCGGCCCGACCAAATCACGTAGTGTGTAACGCGCTTAACATCATATTGGTGCGGTAAACGTTTCCATGTTTTTCTTAGGTTTAGACATCAGGGGCCTATTCCACCAACACACTTTGCAACTTTTCACTTTTCAAAATTTGCAAAGTGCGAAATCTTTTCATTCCACATAAAAAATAAAAATTAATGAATAGACTTTGCAAATTATGGTAACATTATGATAATTGAGTTACCACTTTTCATTTTGTTATCATATTGTTAAACAGCTGTTATCACTTATCATTTTTTAGTCGGCTTAAAAGTTAAAACCAAAAACTTCTGTAGTCTGTGTTTCTTTTCTTATAAGTTATAAGTTTCAATTAATTGTCAGTGAATAATATATTTTGTAAAATTATGAAAATTAAAACCCAAAATAAACTTACGCTATTGGATGCTATACGGCAAAGAAAAAGTGTATTGTTTGGTAATTTTAAAACAACACCAAATGATGAAAAAGTGGAATCTTGGAAAAGTGTCTATAAAATAGCCCAAGCATTACAACTTGCAACATCAGACCGTTCTTGGCAGTTCACTAGGGACAAGTTGTATGGGCTGTGGAAATGTCGCACTTTAGTAAGTACCTACCTCTAGTTTGTAATTATATATTTATTAGGATTAGTAAAGTTAAAAATATTTAATTGCCCTTGATTATATATATAATAGGCTATTAACTCAATAAGAGATAGACAAAATTGTGTTGATCTGTAAATAAATTTATTTTATTAACATGCATGAATATTATATTATGATTATTTTTATTATATACAAAATACCTGTAAACAAATAAACGACAATTTAAAGTCTTTAGCCTATTCTTACAATTGACTTTAAATATAATTATAATAATATATAATAGTACTATACATAATAACTTATATCATATTATAACATATTCAACAAATGCATAATAATAATAATATTAACAAATACGTTAACAACATATTGTTGATAACAGAAATACAGATAATCTCGGTTGTAGATATCGACCGTGATGATAATAAGAAAATTAATAATGTGGTGACTTCGGCGCTTATCACCACTTTGCTCTCACCGACCGAGTTACCACCCGCTCCGCGGTACCAACCATATTTATATTGTCATTTGTGATTTATTTTATATTCGTTTTATTTATACAACTTCTGTGATTTTTATATATTTATGTTCCCACGCTAATCGATCTCACGTCTCCGATTGGCGATATGATAACAATGATAATAAAGAAGTATATTTCTTTACATCTCCCCCACCTGATGAAGACAATTTTCAAACAAATTTTCATCAAACGCTACGTCTTCTCGATCTACCGGATCGTACCTAGGCTCTTCCTCTTCATAACCATCATCTTCAACTGCTGGAGCTGGGATTAGTTTTGTGATGTGATATATATTTGATCCTGATTTTTTTTTTTATTTTGATCAGTGTTTACTCTGTATATTAAATTTGACAACTTCTCTGTGATTTCATATGGTCCAATTTTCAACTCGTCTAGTTTTTTTCTGTTTAATTTATTGCCATTTTTCACAAACACTTTATCTCCTATGTTTTTTTTTTTTTTCATTTATTAAATTATAATTGTTTCAACAAAGTGTTTGTTTTTACATTTTTTTTTTTTTTTTTTAAACATTTACATTATGTTAACATTTTTCATATTTTTCATTAACAGAAATTAATAGTGATATTGTTGTGGAGTGAAAATAATGGGAGATAAGATATTAAATAAATATAAATTTTAATTATTAATTAAGTTTTAATGTGAATTGACTGGTCGATAAGATTATGGAATGCTATTAGTTGTGAGTGCTTTTAGGACTGATGAAAGAAGTGAGATAAGGGGAGTAATTAGTGAGTTTAAATTGGAAATAATACTTGAGAGAGTGTCGGTGAATTTGAGTTCCGCGTTTAAATTTTGGTGATTTTTGGTGGCTTCGGCGTAAGATTTGGTTTTTTGATAGGTGTTGGAATCAGATCCTTTGGCTGGATGGACGGTTTTTTTGTAGGCAGCTTTGTAGACTGGGCATCCTTTGAAGTTAGCAGTATGTTCCTAAGTGCAAAGTGCACATTTGGCGGGACTATGTCGGTCTTTAGAACACTCTTTTGTAAGGTGGTTTTCACCACATTTAACGCATTTAGGTTTGTGACAGCAGTTATTTCGCGTGTGTCCGTAGGATTGACAGTTGTGGCATTGTGGTGGGCCACGTCTCTTTTTGTGTGGTTTCTCAATCAATACTTTAGTATTGAGTAAAGACTTGATGTCTAGGATGTCTTTGTTATTGTCTTGTGTTAAGATATCCACAAAGAATAAAGGTAGGGGACATTTGTTTTTATTTTTGGCGTTGTATATGTGTTTGACTGAGTGTCCCAACTCAGCCAATGCACTGATAATGTCATTGCTTAAGGTGGTAGAGTGCAGGTTTCTGATAACGACCCTGTATGTGCGAAGGTGACGGGGGGTGTATGAATGAAAACTGGCGTTAGTTTCGTGTAAGTGGCCTATGATTTTATTGAAGTTTGTACGACCAGCTGGTTGCACGATGAGGTGAGACGGCGTTGACCTACAGGTTAGGTTGTTTTTTTAAGCGTATAAAGGGCCGCTTTCATGAGTGCGTATTTATGCCGGGCGCACGTCAAACGTTAACGCTCGGGAGTTTCGCTTTTTTATAAATTTTTTTAAGCATTTTATTATTGTTCAGCATCTTTTTATCAACAATATAGCGTTTTTTAATGGATTTTTATCCGTTTTTTAATTTTTTTTAGGCGTTTTTTTGAAGCGTATATATTGCCGCCTGTATTAGCGCGTACCGATACCGGACAAGCGTTAAACGTTTACACTCAGGCGTTTCGCTTTTTAATTCATTTTTTTAAGCATTTTATTATTGTTCAGCACCTTTTTATCAACAGTATAGCGTTTTTAAATTATTTTTTTAACAATATGCACGCCGCACCTGATTCGCCCGTCACCGGGCCGTCAGAACCACTGGGGATCACGTCCCCCCTGAGGATGGACGACGGGTGGCACGACGACGACGATGACGACGAGTTGGCTGGCAGGCCAAAAC